TCAAACAAGTGGATTGCTTGTAACGGAAATTTAGAATTTCGCGCGACCTTGGTGCGGCTAATGGTGAAAATAGAAAGTATGACTGAAGACGATACAAAAATTAACACTCTGTATACGCTGAAAAGTTGAATATTTTGTCCGTTTCATGACTTCTGTAATCTGATGTTTTTGATCCAGTTTGATGACCTCCATTCCGTACCATTTAGATCCCGTAAAATCTTGCAAGTTTTCCAACATATATCGCTGTGACGATGCCTGTAAACTGGCTTCTCTCATGTTAAATTACTAAGATGAGAATAAAATGTTTATTTATTTACATATTATTTATAATGTGTTCATTTGGTATGGTTTTCTTCACATAGTTGTTAGGTTTGCTATGCAGCATGTTGAATTGTGTGACTGTTGCATTGGGCATGTCTGTACCGGCTTACTGTCTGCAAGCTGACTCGTCGCAACTGTTTGTGGTGTCGTCACTCTGTTTAGGTAAGTTATCTATTCATAACAACCTCACCTTGTCAACTAGTTCACTAGTTACCAGCCAGGCCCATGCCCGGATAAGGAGGGAGGGTTGGGCATACCACCAGCATTCTGATCCACAAGACAAATCCAATCGCTAAAGACACTTCAAAGCACAAAAGAATGTAAAAAGTAAAGACAAACATATTCCTCGCTGAAATCAGAGATGAAATGACGCCGGTCGGTGAGAGCCTCCGGGAAGCCAGTTGGCCAATGTGTCCTCTCTTCTCTCGATGAAAGCGAAAGTGAGAATGGGGGCGTGGAATGTCCACACAACATTTGAAGCTGACTAGCAGGGCTACTCGGATTGCGAAAGAGACGAGGAGGTATGGTGTAGAAGTGCTAGGAATCTGCGAAGAATCTGTAGATGGAATGGAGGTGGACTCTCCATACTGTCAACCGAAGAGTCAGTAATCTACTCCGATCTTGTCGCCCAGACAACAACCATGAGCACAGCACACTGAGATCTCGAGTGGCTATCATGATGTCCCCTTGAACAGCATCGAAGCCTTTCTCTCATGCAGTGGAAGCCAATCTCCTCCTGCAGGATCATGACAGCAAGATTCAACTGAAAATGGAGGAGAGTCACAAGCATAAAATGCCACGCTGTGCACCTACAAATATTGCAGATGAGGAGGAGAAGGGGGAATTCTACAGACAACTGCAATCAGTAATGTGCAAGACCCCCATGCACTTGGCGACATCAAAACTCTAATGGGTGGGGTGACATGAGTGCCAAACTGGGAGAGGAAAACACAACACAGGAAGAGAACTGATCATGGGTCGAGAAGCGCTCTATGAAGTGGGCGAGAACGGCGAACTGTTTGCAGACTTTTGAGCGTTCAACGATTTGGTGATTGGAGGCAGTGTGCACAAGCACGAGGATATCCACCGAGCAACTTGGTGCAACAGAAGACGATTCAGTTCATCGCAGTGGAGTGATGAACAACGAAAGCGTGAACTGAATACCGCCTATAAAACAAAGCACTGTACAAAATATTGATGACGAGAGCGCGAATGACTGGCTGGGTTTCTACGATGGATTTGCAAGTGAAGAACTATACCCTGCTGGTAAGGTAGATCTGACAACATTATATCAATAACCAGGTGCTGCTTACAAGCAGCACAGTGGCGGCAGTTTGACCGTGCATAGGTTGGTGTGCAATCCTTGGTAAATATACTGCTTCGATGTTAGGCAGCAGTTTCTGAATATACAGTTTCATTCTTGGATGAAAGCAGTAAGCCCTGTGATTTTCTGGAAGGAAATATTTGCTTCCGAACCCTTTGGATTAGTGTCGGGCGGAGAGAAATAGGGTCTACTGGCAGTGGTTCAGGTAGGTGGGGTATCATTTTCACCATGCTTGATGCGAGTACAGTATCTTGCGAAGAGAAGAGGAAGCAAAAGATGAGAGAAAGTGGCAAGAGAAGGCTGGAAAACTTAAATAAAGATATTTTATGAGGACTAAGAGAACCGCAACCGACAGTTTTGTCTGTAGGACTTTCCAAAGAAGCTGACAATTATAATCATTTTATAAGTCACGCCATGATATGATCCGAATAGCAGTACTAGTGTTATTTGTAACGCGCGCATATCTACTGGAAAATGTCTGTCGTAAGCTGGTAGACTTCCACTTCCAAACTACTGATGCGAATTTGGAATCTGTACTGTGTACGAGATGTCACGTTTAGCCGCCGAGGTGATGAAGATGTGCTTATCGCAGGCAGATCAATACCGTTATTAGGTCTTTCAATCCATAGCGTTCTGATGACTTCCCGTCAAAATTATGAATGTCAAATTCACACAGTGCCTACCGTCGAGCCAACCAGAGTTAAAGCGGGCATGTGGGCAGACCCACAGCGCCAAAGGTCTGGAACCGTTCCGCAAGACCTGGAGGCGGAAGCGAGGAAATCAATCAGTTGACACTGGCTCGTATGAAGATATTGGACATTGGAATGAATTGGCTTGGTGGTGTAGTGGATAACGCTCTGGCGTTTGAAGCGATCAGTCCCGAGTCCGAATTCCGGTTGGAAAAACACTCACTGGGAAGCAGGTACATCCAGCTGATGAGTCCTAAATCGGAAGAAGTGCACATCCTGGATTTCACTCACCCATGATCCAACGTGACCAAGATATATATGCTTAGGCGGAGAGGTTACAAAGCAATCCCACAAACTTGTGCCGCTTCATATAGAGAAAAGGAAGCCGACCAGTAAGGGAGTGAATCTTGTCATGGGTCATGATGGGAGTATGCTAGGCAGTCTAGAGATTGCCGAGCTTCTGAGCTCACACTTACAAGCCCAACTTCGCACCGACATAAAATCGACACCTACTCGCTACAACACTGACCGGGCCGTAAATAATGAATACCTCTGTCACATCTCGATCACAAAGAAAAGCGTTTTCGAGAAGCCATCTAGTCTACGTCCCCTGGCTGCGATAACCTAAGACCAGTGATCCTTAAAAACTGAGCCGAGGTGCTTACGAAACCACTCTGCAACCTCTTTGAGCACTCAATAAGGCGTGCAAACTCTTTAAAGAATGGAAGGGCGCCATCTTGTCACCCATCTTCAAGGAAGGAGAAAGAAAAAGCCCCGGCAGCCACAGGCCGATTGCCCAACTCCCTATTGTGTCGAAATTGTTGAAAAGCCTGGTAGCTGACACTATCTGGGAATTCCTCAATAGGAAAAACACTGCTCATGCTGCTCAGCATGGTCTTCGGAGTGGTCACTCATGTGTCACCAACTTACTAACCGCCTGGGACTGCTGGACATTAAGCTGGGACAACAGAAAACCGGTACAAGTTGTATTTCTCGACCTAGCCAAAGCGTGTGACAGTGTCCCATCCATAGTCCTGCTACATAGGATCATGTCCGCTGCCATAAGTGAACCATTACTTTCTTGGTTCAAGGAGTACCTGGAAGGTAGGCAGTTCTGCACCAGAGTAGACAGAGTAGGGTCGGAGTGGAGACCATCGACGTCAGGAGTATCCCAAGGAGCAATCCTAGGATCACTTCTGCCCTTCCTTTTTGTCAACAATCTGCCAGACAAGATGTCCTCATCCATATTCCCCTTTGCTGACAACATTAAAATTTGGAGGGTGGTAAACGAAGAAGCTGACTGTGCAGAACTACAAAATGGCTTGCACCAACTCGAACTCTGGTCATCGGAAAGTGGCTTGGGCTTCAACCTGGAAAAATGCAAAGGAATGCACATCAGTAAATATGAAGCAAGTACGGCCGATTTCCAGTACATGTTGAGCGACCGTGCTATCACAAGAGTGTCCATGGAGAAAGATTTGGGGCCCAGCTTCTCCAACATCTTGGACACCAGCTCCAACTACAAAGGTATGACAGCCACAGCGAATGCCATCCTACACTTTTCGTGTAGACAGCTTGGCGCCCTCACTCCCGAACTCTTACTCATCACTTTCAAATCCTGCGTGCGGCCGCATCCAGAGGTCTTCAACACAGTGGCCCCCCCCCTAACACCCAAGAGAGACTTTAATCTACTTGAAAAAATACAAAAAACCGAAACAAACTCCGTTGTTAGGCTAAGGGGAAAGACGTACCCTTAAAGACTTAAGCACATTAACATATTTACCTTGGGTTATCGCAGGAAGAGGAGTGACCTTATTATGGTATACGGGATCGCTCATCAGGCAGACCACGCGAACAAATCAATTTTGCCTGCAACTCAGCGATATTCACGAGGAAGCCCCATCAAGATAACATACCAGAGAGCCAACACCAAACTCAGGTCCAAATTCTTCCCCCTGTGACTGTGGTTTATGGAATGCCTGACCGCGACATGTAGTTATAGCCCTCTCAGTCGACTCATTCAAGAGACTATTAGACAGTTATGTCACCTCGCACAGTCTACCACGGACGTACTCGGGTAGTCACCAACCTCACTAGCCCCCAACTCCCTTCTACCTACCGCTCACTCTCTCCTTAAAACACCCACTTTACCTACTAATTCTTCTGTAGGAACCAAGCACACGCTACCATTCGGGCAATTCCCAAGTACTTTTCTCTTTTTCACCCCTTCCTTTCCCCCTCTCTTCTTTTCCTTTTTCTCTCTCCTTATTTTTTATTTTTTTCCTCTTATCTTTTTCCTTCTTCATTCTTTTACCACTACCTTACTATTCTTCAGGTACCTACGCAGACGGAAGTCACGACAGTCTGCTAAACACCCCAGCCACCCAAAGCTCCCCAATCACTCTACAAACTTCAAAAAGACGTAGAACACAAGGAACCGCAGTTCGCTAATCCTACAACACGAAGTTTGAAGTTTGAAATCAAAACTTACTAACCCACAAAACATCCACCTCACCGAGTCTGTAAGCAAAAAAGCAGAGGGAATTCCCTCGTCCACTGCAGGAGTGAACCGAATAACTGGAACCAAGCCCTAAAAGCCTAGACACGAGAGATCAGAAACTATCAGTTTTCTACGCTCGCACTGTCAATATTGGATGTATTGGATATTGGAAGTCAGAAGGCGGTTGCACAAATTCGTAACATTAATTCGAGCTAGTAATATGCCTGCTCTTAGCTGTGGTCAGCGATGTCTGCAAATCATGCTGATAGTTTTCAACATCGTGGTTTTTGTATGTTGAAAATACTAAGTGTAGAAATTACGGGTGCAGATTTGTGGAATAGCATTGGTTGCAGTTGGATTGGTCGCGTGTATATCACTGAACAGATACTCCAAAGACATTGATGCAACCGTTTATGGGTTTGCAGTCTTCTTGATTGTTCTTGGTGTCGTAATCTTTTTCCTGGGGATAATTGGGTGCTGTGGAGCATGCAATGAAAGTGTCTACAAACTTACTTTAGTAAGTTTGCGTTATTGCATTTTACTCCAAATAGTACTCTCTGCTCTTATTTGTGATTATTGTGAGCGAATTTGCCTCGAGTGTTGGAGCTCTAGTGTTGAAGGAAAAGGTAGTGCTTGTTTTTTGAAATATTGCTGAGAATTTAGGTGAAGGAGAAGCTCACAATAGCTGTCAAGGATGCCGTACAGGATTATAACAAGAATCCTGATCTCAAGAGTGTTGTTGATGAAATACAAGAAGCGGTATTTTAAATGATTATAATTTTCGGATGTTGTTAGATCGGTTGTTGTGGAGCGGACTCACCAAGTGATTACGATACTCCACCACAGTCATGTTACGATAATGGAGAGCTGTTTAAAACGGTGAGTTATTAGACCTTCTCCTTAGATCATAAGCTGCAATTTAGGTTTTGTTTTACAGAAAGTCTTGACGTTCTTTCATACCATTACAAAATTACTCAACTAAAACCTATCTCCTGGCACAGATTTGCATGGAATGACTATTCTTGCGGTCCATTATTAATGAAATAAAAAAAAGTGAAACATGATAAATATGAAAACATCAAAAATAAAGTTTCCTAAATCTTGAGCATCAGCAATAATCATCACATGATTTGGATGAAATTAGGTGAGTGACCAACAAATGCAATATCAAAATGTGCAACAAAAACATATTGCAGAACAACTTAGTCCATGTAAAGGATGAGATCTCTCAAGATTAATAACTTTATTATGTTTCTCAAATAAAATGCTCATACTGTGATGTAATATACATAGGGCAAACTTCTTATGAAATCAAAATTAGGAAAAACGAACACCGAAAGGCTTTTACCAAACCCCTATAAATTCACTATAATTGAAAAAACTTCAAAAAAAAATTCTACCATAGCTATACACGCTATAATTTCAGGTCGCACGGTCAATTTTCAAAACAAATTATTTAAGAAGGCCTCAGGGACTATAAAGAACGTTTCATAGCGGCATCTCTTCACATAAAGTAGGATCAAAACTATCTAATTTGGAATGAGGGGATAAAACGTAGTTTCGCGTGGTTTCAGCCCATCTCCACGTATTGATGCAGCCAACATTTATGTGATAAGAACTGTCAACACATATGCACATGCAGGCCTCCATCCCTTTATACACTACGCTACGTATGGATATCATTTTTGTTCAGCAACTTTACGACGCTGAAGCATTCATCCAGAAGAACACATCATCAATGAGCTAGAATATTATGGATTTCGGCTTACTATAATTTTGCGAAGACTAGTAACATAAAATAACGTAACAGTTTGAAAATTTTTTATTTAGTCTTACATTCATCGGGAAATACAAATAACGAAATAATAAATTTTCACCATATTCTGCAGTTATAAAATGAGATTATACTGCTCTAAGCCAACGACGTTCGAGGTGAGTAAATTTCAAGATGAAGTGTAGATTAGAGACTGTAGGGGAATCAGTTTTTTGTTTTTAATTTGTCGAAATTAAAATGAAACGCAAACGGATGGAAAATGTGGTTGCACTTTAAAGGAGACATTCCAAGTGATGTCCTATCACAAAGCATAACTAGAGCAGCCAATAGGAAGTTTTATTCAGGTAATCTTTGCACGACTTTCAGTAATCGGATAATATACATTTCTAGCGCAAAAGATAGCCTACCTAATCATAGCTTTTTATCATGCATATATTATTTCAACTGTCCATGTGGAACATATTGGATAGGGCGTACGATTAGGCAAGTTCGTTTCCAGATGCGAGGGCATTTACCGGCTTGCTTCGGAAAAAATGTAGTGGAAGTGACCAAAGGTTTCATACAAACTCACCCAGTAAGCGCAGGGCACCACATAAATGGTACTAAGGCTTTTAATTTCATAGATCATTTACTAAAAACAATACCACATTTAGCTCGCCCTCGCTTGCTTAAACATTACTAGAGCGGTCTCAATAAGATTCTCAACTTTGCATTCAGAAATAGAATATCCAAGCATTTTTCTTCCTTGGTCTCCAATAAACTAAAACCCATTTAACTCTTTCTTGTTCATTGTCTTTACTTTTATCATCATATTCTTCACAGGTATATACGTCATTTAGTGTTAACAAATTTAAAAAGAAGAATCGATTTCCTTACAGTCCCTAACTCACATTTCATTTTGAAATTGTATTCGCCTTAGAATTAGGTTGTTTAAAACTACAAAACTTCATTTGATAACTAATGGACCTGATGAACATTTATCAAAAAGAACATCTTTCGCTCATATCGTTAGTGCTGTAGGAATTTATAAATGTTTAGAATTCTATAATTATTAGTAAGTTATAGTAATGCAGTTGAATTGGTCAAATTACAAATGAAATATAATACAGTAAAATAACAACGATAAGATAATGCTTTTAGCCACATACTGGATTTACTGGGTAGGACTCATATTCCTCGACATACACGTAGCTTATCTGTATCAAAACTCTGGTAGGCTCTTAGAAGGAAGCCTGATACTGAGGAACCTCCAGCAGCGCATAACTCTGTAGATTTCTTTGTTTTCATTATGTCTATTTGCAGTAACCTGTAAATACTTATGAATAAAAACCCTTTTAATCATTGAGTGATCATGTGGGTCGTCATAATAAACCAATGATTGAATTATTCCACTAATCAGTTTAGTTCTTCCTTTACCTATAATGTGTAGTTTTTACTGTACATATCACAACAAGGTCAGATGTTATCTGAAAATGTCAGACTTGGTAACTTGACATTTATGTACGTACCACTGATTTACAGTAAAAATAGAAAAAAAGTATGGGGTAGATACCTACAGTTTGCCGGGCTTACTCGAATAAACTATTCTAACAAGACCTTACGATTGAGAAAATAATCTCCTACCAGTCATGTTGGACTATTATTACTCTGTAATGTTGTGATAACAGCATTTCTGTTGACTCATTCCTTGAGTTCAGAAATATATGTTTAGTGAAAGCGAACCGCTCTTTCCCAAAGTTGCATATCACGCCAAGTTAGTGAACATTCTCTTGTCAGTTGCATACAGAAGATATTTTAAGTTTGTTGCATGACACTACATTCTGAATGCAACTCAATACTAACAGAGAATCTTCTAAATCACAAGTCTTTTTCACCAAGTATTTTATTTTTCCTCTTAAAGTACTTTCAACATAAAATGTGTTGCCTGAGTACAAGTATGTAACTCGAAGTGATATCTTTTCATAAAACTCCATAGCTTTTACATATCAATGATTATCTAAGGTATTAAAATTTGCTATTCAGAGCTAAAAAGAAAGCCATCGGAACTAAAAGATGGGGTGTTATCGAAAAGTGGTAGTTGATGGCTTCAAAATGAAGTGTATAAGCTTGCACCACTTAGTGATTTTCATCAGTAACGATGGTGTTTCGACCTGTTACAATTAAAAATCCCTGTGAAGTGTAACTAACAGTGAGGAGTAAGTACTGTTATAGAAAATGGCCCGGAATGATGACCAATGTATACGATTTTGGTGCTGTATGATACAAACTAGGAAAGCCCTCTATATGTTATTACAATAGAGTTCGTTTGCTAAAGAACTGTTTGTTGAGCACAAGTTAGCGGAGAAAAAGTAACTGCAAGTGTTCTAAAACTCATTACGTGTGCACTATTGACAGAATGTAAGCTATATGCTTATTCAAGTCAAATGAGTTGTTAAAAAAAGACATAGGATTTTATTTTTACGTTGTACTGAAATATGCCTCTATTTTTCATACCTAGATTGTACTTTTAGTGGTGGTTTACTTCTCACAAACGTATGCAGTATTGTGATGTAATGCATCAATACTGCAGTAGATTAACATGTTATGCCTTAAACAGTCATTTTCTCCATCATTCTTTAAAAGTTGCCGCTTGATTTCTAATTTCTTTATATAAAACTAAAGATAAAAATGAATTCAAATGATTTCATTTCATAGTTATGGTGTAACAGCTAATGTAAAATATAGTTTCTACTATTGTATAAGTGTTTCGCGACTAAAAATACACATGCATTATTCAAATTGAAATAAGTAGTGCATTGTTCATCATAATTAAACTTATGAAAATCAATCTGATACTGGTTTGTACACTAGGCTGTGAGCAAGTGCTACTTCGTTACCTAAGCCAAAGTAGATATGGCCAGATTTAAATCCAAGACCTGATATTTTTTCGTTGAATGCTTATGCCAGTGAACAGGATCCTTTAGATGAAATACCTTTACTATGTGATACTGAAAATCTTTAGCTCAAAGGGATTATTTCGGACTGTTTTGTGTTTTCCGAGGTGAATAGTTTAGTTGTGGTGATTTCATTCTCATTTTCGACAACGTTGTCAACACAAAGTTGAGAGATAAGTGAGCTATAAGTATTTTAGTTGGTTGAATGAAGTTGACAGGAAGCCCTGCATCTAGGCTTCATACTTGTTCGAATTCTTCAGCAAGCCCAATCGCAGTTTCGAAAGAATGAATGTTCTCTATGAGATTCTAACCAGTCCCACTCAGTGTTGTAGTCAGTAACGTTACCACTAAGGTATTCGGGCAGCAATTCACTTTCTTCAGGATTAAGTTAGATGCACTGAATGGTCACTGGAAGGCAACCAATTCCACTTTGTTTAGTTCTGAGCGCTGGCTGAGCTCTGTTGACCACGTTGAGGCTCAGCATCGTGGTGGACTTTGATGGACTAGTTGGTTGGATTCAGTTGCCAATAAGTGTGTCAAACCGAGTCTTGTTTAAGGTTAGTCGTCCCCCAAATAACTCAATAGTAACGTCGCTCACTACAAAACTGAATGAATCGGTTTAGAATCTTACAGGGTATATCAATTCTCTCGAGGTTGTAGATAAACCTTCCTGAAGAGTGCCAACAAGCACGAAAACTGAGTGCAGGGCTTCCTTGTGATTGCTTCAAACCAACTAACATTCATTAAAGTATATAGTCCAGTGGTGAGCCTTAGCTTGATGACTACATTGAAAAATGATGGATAGAATTCAGTCGACACTGAGGACCAGACAACGTAAAATTGGTTGCTCTCTAGTGACCAGTCAATGCTATGAGAATTTCTCCACATGTCGCTCAGTACACTGTCCTCAACAGGTTACGTGCGACTGGCTGCTTTTGCTATGGTCTCATTGTTTACACATGTTTTTACACTGGATGCTCTACTGACCAAGTCTATAGTCTTCTTGTTGCTTCTCACCATTTTTGTTTATTGGTAAACTGGGTCGATATCAATGTGCTCACTAACTACTGACTAGTGTAATCGTCAAGTTTTTAAAAATCCTCCAGTATTTCACCCATTTACTATATCCAACAATTCCACGTTTCCTCAGTCGAAATCATGTCCACAACCAAATATTTGCATCGGTTGGAAAAAAGATATTTCGTGGCAATAAAAAGATAATAACGGAAACACCAAGTTTAGCCTAAGATGATCAGAACAGACTTATAATCCACTTGTGAAGAAATTGTCGTAGCTAACTTCTCTGTCAAGTTTGCGTTGATGATGCTGTCTAGAGTGACGATGAAATCATACCGATTTAACTAAGCTTAGAGAACACAATCATGTTGAGCCCCTCCATTTTTACTGGATTTCACTCATACGTTTCTTTATACCCTCAGTCGACTTTATAGAGATTTTTCTTTTCTCAGACCACTTGATACGGTTAACGTTTATGGATGGCATAGTCCAGTTATGTGAATATGGCAAGTGGTTTGATATTTAAGAATTTCTGAGGTAAATGTTTGGCCTATGAAGTGAAAATCGGTTATCAAGCACTGACCTATATTGATACTGTCTCTGATTTTAAGGTATTAAGTGGTTAAGTTTTTCAATTATAGAATTTACCTAGTAGGTCAAATTACACTTGATGTGTCGGTGGCAGACTAAATTTCAGCAGGGGTATGAAATGGTCAGGTGGACTTCACCAGCTTACCCAACTTTTCATTTCGATAAGGCATCCTATTGCCTACTCAGGGTTGGTTGCAGTCTACCGCAATTCGTCTTGTCTGTTTCTATGACTACGAAAAAAGCTAATAGGGTATAGATATTTGGCTATAATCATCTTCGTAGCATCGGGCTTAAGTAGTGTTAAGAACACATGACCAATATGAAAGTTATAAATCTAGTTCAAGATAAAAGTTGGTTTACAGACTGAAGTTGTAAGTTTCCACTGACTGAAGAGTTCCCTTAAATGTTAAACACACTGCACCACTTTCTTCCCTAAGACACTGTTCATTGAATTAGGATTAGTCTCGAAAAAAGGAGAGGTTGGACAACTTAAAACGTGGTATCATTTGGTGAAGTCGCTGAATTCTGCGATAAATCATGCAGACTTTCAGTGTGCATTTGTTACAGAAACCAAAAAGTCTAGTAGTAGAGTTCAAATGAAATGAATGAGAGTCGATTAAAGTGATACAAACCTATTATTCTCTTTTATCTCCCTTAACCATTATAGTACACTTAATTTTCTTTAAATTCTCTTCTTTTCGTTTTGCTGACGATTTTTTAGCTTTGTCTTCTTGACTTACTTTATGTGACGTGGAGCTAATTGAACTGCTATGTCGTATTATTAAAGCTCATAGTGACCAATTGACTCAAGTTTCGAAACTAGCAGTGATAACTTATGTGCTGTTAAACAAATTGGCTTAATTTTTTTTCAGTCATCACCTAAATGTTGGAAACTTCTTTATCTTGCACCTCCCTACTCCCCACTTTTTTATGCTTTTCCAAAATCTTAACCTGTGTATTGTCGAATATTTTTTGTGCTGCCAAAAATATCAACGACCGTTATTCCATGTATATCAAGCGCTTCTGACACTATTAACTGTATTCACATAAGCATAATTCCGCAACCTTGATATAAGATTTAATTAGTTCTTATCCTCTGGTCATTTTGTGATAGAAGTGATAAGAATTCCTATATATTTGAGACACGTGCTGAGCATTTCCTGTTACATATATTTAGGATTGATTCCGTAAACAAAACTTTGACCTTCAATATTCCAGCCCACTTAATAAACCCTCCCATCTTCTTGCATGCTTATCTGTAATGGCATGCATAGCGATATTCGAGATTTTATTCAGATTCTTTGTCTTACAAGGATCTAAATTTTTCGAATTAGTTACGTCCTTGTGGCTTTTCAGCTCATTTGACCCTGTTCGACTACTCCGACTCACATATTTGACCTCGTAGCTGTTGCAAAAGATTTGGCAGACTTTATTATTCTACCTAGTTGGGTCAATAAGATATTTTAACTTGCAAATCTGTACGATCCATCTAATCTGTTCAAATCTACCACAGTGCCGAAGTTGCACTTTTATATTACCGTCTTCCAGTTTTATCACTTTTTAGGAGGGAAGGTGTCTCGCTAAATTTTAATGGAAGGATCGTCAGCTTTCACTTTGTTGGCTAGGTGATTAAAATCGACCGCGAAATTTGCTTTTGTTCAGATGATTTCATCGCTTTGTTTATGGTCACCAAATACTTCTCATCGTTGTAACGTGTTTACAAATACTCACACATTTCAGTAAAATTTATCTTACAACCTTTGTGTTAGTAATCTTTGTATCACTTATTCCATGTTATTTTCTCGACATCTTTTGTAAATTAAAACTAAATCTCACAACAGTTCTCTTCTGCTTGCATTATTGTTAACTCAGACTCCATTGTTTGTAAAGAGCCAACACGAAATCTCTTTTTCATATATTTCTAAATATTTACAAATTTTTCAGAAAATATATCATCTTACCAGATTATTTTTGAATAATTTTCCGCTTTTCAGGGTTGTATTGAAGCGATCACCCTTATCATGAAACGGTATATGGTTATTATAGCTGTCTGTACAATTGCATTTGGACTGCTACAAATTTTGGCCTTTGTGTTCGCTATCTGTCTCTGTGGTGCTATCAAACGAAACAAATACTGATCAGTTTCTTCCATTCTGTAACTTTTGGGTATGAAATACTTGGGCTTTTCTCCTACACGTCTATTATTTTTATGCTTTCATATTTTCTGGTAGTATTTTCTTGATGTTTGCTCTCTGTCACTTTGGAAAGTTCAGTGATCAACTGTTCCTTGTTATAAAGAACTTGATTTGAGTAAATGAGAAGCTTACACAGGAAACATCTTCCAGCTATATTTTGTTTTGTTACAGTATATGATACAGATTTTGTTGTTTATAATGTTGTATTTTCTCTTGAGTTTCGCATTTAAGTAGATCACGAGTTTTATAGATTGCTTCTGTTTCGAATGAAATTTGGCACATATTCGAAAAGCTACTATTCTTATCAAACAGTTTTTATGATTACTGATGATTAGTATGGATGAGAGTGAGACACAACTGGTTTTTAACATTTCATAGTATATTCCTGAATTAAGCTTACCTTTCAAAATGTGGATGTTGCATAATTTTAAAACTTATGATGATGAACCATTACTTTTCAACGATTCAAACTTTACATTGAGAAGTGTCCCTTCAAATGAAAACACTGCATTCTCATTCAACTAATTAAGGTTATACAACCTATGACTTGCAGGATTCTCTGGACTTTTGTATTTCACTGAGTTGACCATTCACTAATACCGACTTGATGAATCTAGTATATAAAACTCTTTACCATTACTTTTGGTTAGAAAGTTAACATCTGCATGTTAACTAAGGAATGACTAACACTTCCCTTTTAATTAGTAGCAAGGTGATAAACTCAATCAATCGCGGTCAACTGCTGACCGAATAGCTTAGTAACAACGTCTCTGACTGCAACATTAGGTGAAGTAGGTTTGAATCTCAAGCGGAACATCAGTTCCGTAGATGTTTCTGATGAGTGCCAACAGGTATGTAACCTAGATCTCGAGCTTTCTACCGATTACCTCCATCGAAATTACAGGGTGATAAACTAGTTATTTTTTCGACCATTGTTGAATCGGTTGCCAGCTTATCAAGTTGACTCTTAAAAACAAATCCTTGTTCAAATGCATTTCATCACATGATACAGGTAAACTCAAAACAGTTTACTTACCCAACTAGTGTTGATGATACATTTAACTTTTATTGTTCGGTGCAAACTAATTCCGACACCCTAATGGTTTAGTGTGAAAATGGAAGATTATCAGTTAGTCATGTGAAACGTGTATAACATTCGTTGATACCCTAACCTGACTAGTTTTCTTCCGTCGTGTAAACTTATAGAGTTAATTTTAAAGAAGAGAAATCGACGTTTAATTACATCCTGAAAATTATATCGTCCTTCAGCAAATAAATCTTTTGCAAACATTTTTCAACTGCTGGTGGTTAATTAAGACGTAAGAAAACTCAGGCTAAAATTTCTTATCAAAGTCAAATAACTGTCTCTGAATGCCTTTTAAACGTGCATTGAACCCTCCCTCTTTGACTACAAATGTAATACTTAACAACGACTTTAAACATACCTGAGGGTTGGTTGGTTATTTTCTGATAGAGGTTCAGCACACAGCCAAAGGTAATTAGTGGAAAAATGCGGTTGCATGTTTTACTCTTTTCAGGATCTGTCAACCAGAGAAATATACAGATGTGAAAGGTTGTTAATCTGGTTATTTTATTATTTATTTATTAGTTCCTTGGGTTCCTAATGGAACATAGGGCTTCAGTAGCACGTCTCCAGTGAACTCTGTTCTCCGAAATCTTTTCAACCTGGCTCCACGACAGCCCAGAAGCTCTCATTTCCTCCTCACACGATCTCCTCCATGTCACCCTCGGCACCGACGCCCAACTCGTCGCTTCCCATGGGCATTCCACTCGAGCAACTGGCCTGACGCGTGATGTCCCCAGTCGGCCTTCTCAGTGTATGCCCAATCCCATCCATCTCCACTTTCTTTCCACTGCATATTTGTTGGGTGATAGGTTGTTGGTTGGTTCGTTGCCAGCCACAGTGAGTTCCTTGTTGCTTATTCTTTCTGGCAATCCATCTGATCTTCAGTAGCGAGCCAGCGTAAGCAGTTGTTGATGAATGTCTGTAGTTTATTGGAAATCCCTTTCGAGATGCGCCAAGTCTCTCATCCACCATACAGAAGCACTGAATTGACTGAATTGGTGTTGAAAATCCGAATCTTGTTCCACATGCTGAGTGCAGAAGATCTCCACACTGGTTTCAGGCTAATGAACGCCTGTCTTGCTGTCTTTCCGATTCTGACTTTGACATCCTCGTCTGTGCCACTACCGCCTGCAGTTGAAACAGTGCTGCCTGCCTAGATAAGTGAAGGAGGTTACTTCCTTTAAGTTTCTCCGTTGATGGTGATTGGAGTTTGTTGTTGTTGTTGGAATTGTTGGTGCGGTATCTTCATCACTTCTGTCTTCTCTATATTCACTTGAAGTCCCGTCTTCGCTGCCTCGCCTCTTCTGTCAACTTGTTAGTTTTCGCCTGTAGGTCTTCAAGTTTGTGTGACATCAGGCACAAGTCATCACTGGCGAAATCCAAATCTTCTAGGTTCTTTTCCTCAGTCCAGCGTATCCCCCTCTGTTAATCTGGTTAGTCATTGATAATAGTTAACAGGTGTTGGTGGCCTTATTTCCATCAAGTGTCTCATCAATATTGGCAAACAATAAAATCTTTTTTATATCCACTAAAAGTTATAAATCCATTGAGAAAATTGATCGTTACCAGTGGAAGAGACTGGAAAATATCCTTTGGGATAATTAATCACTGACACTTATTTATCGTTACCATATATCAACCTAGCGATTTTGTGATTATTTTGCAGCTGTAAAGTTTAGTGTACCTACGGAAAATATTCTCTGAGCCTTCTGTATTGCTGAGGAGGATACCAATGGTTTTTTTCAAACTCTCTAGTATGCATTCAGGTTCATTTTGATTTATTTAACCGCCTATACAAACGATTTTTATACTATTAGTTCGGAGTGACGACTTAGCGTTACGGTTTATTTGTTACGCAGCTGCCTTGTTTGTAGCTTACAAACTCTTCTGGTGCTGAATATTTCAAATTTCCACCTACAAGAAGTTGAAGGACTTCTGTGAATCCTTCATTTGCACAGTTGATGTTTGTAGAATAACTAACCTCAGGCGCCTGTATTTGACTTCATCCAGCATGGAAGCATCTTTGGTCATAGTGACGACGAGATAATGTAAGATAAAAACCATTCGGACGTGAAGATTATTCACCGTTAGTATGCATCACTGTGGTTGGATAGTCAAAGATAGGTCAATGATACGAGTCTGTTGATTTTATCGCACAGAAACGAAGGGGAACTATTTCTCAATACAACGAGATCACAACAAAAAGTGGATACTATATTCATAATGTTGCAATCTAATTGGGGAGTAGCAGTGGAATCCAAGGCACGAGTTCCTTTCTGTTTTGGACTCATCAGCTGTGTGCACTTGTACCCTAATGGGTGACATTGGTACCCCCTGATATTCGAACCCAGTAGTCATTGCCTCAGATGCCGAGGCATTATCCATTAAGCCACTGGGGCATGAAAGCTACCTCTTGTGCAACAGGTACCAGTTTTTGTTCATTAATACTTATAATCTCACCACTTTTTTGATGAACAAATGTGAAAGAGTGTGATTATTTATGAAATTCAAATCAAAGTGAAAAAATAGTCAATTGTCGAAGCATCTGCGTTGGAACACAAATGGCAATGAAGATTGGTCGATTCCGTTCTGTCAATGACGGGAAATTAAAAGCAGTAGCATATCCTTCGAAGAAATTTTTGAGAACACAGTGGCGATCAGGGTAAACAAATTGCTAAAAATACTTCTCACGGATTAAGTGAATAATACGGATAACAGGGACAAAAGTGAATTTCCGAAGTTGCCGGCTAGCATTGGTGTGATGAAGAGTATAAAGTGACAGTTGAAAGAATCTCTAAAGAAGATAAAACATTAAAGCTTTTTTGCTTAGGTGTGCAAAATGTTAATACGTACGGGAACCGTTTCTTTTAAATTATAGTTTTCTAAGCGCTAACAGAAAACTCCTTGTTCCCCTAATCAGTTCTTGGCATAACTTATTCAATATATCATACAAAAGTAAAAGGATAATTAAAATTCCTGAAATCATTTTAGAAAGAATTTGTGATGCATAGTTTGAAGGACTTCTGTGAAGTTTTAGGAAGGAATGGTGGTTTGGGTGAAAATGACTAATTCATGATATTATATGATGTTCCATCATAAAAATATATTTTAATATAATCCTAGGGTGTTTAAAAAATCGAAACAAGATATTTCTGAATGCTTCGCTGTATAAGCCACAGCTTCTTCAGAAGAATATCAAGTCACAAATAGGATTAAATCTGGGTTCTAATGCTAGTCATTATCCATTATAACTATCAAAGCGAAAAAAACAGTTAATTGTCGAGGCATCTGCGTGGGAGCATATATGCCAATAGGGATCGGTTGATTCCGTTTTGGTGAAGAAGCTGTGGCCGACACAGTGAAACGTTCAGAATTATCTTGTTTTGATTTTCTAAACATGCTGGGATTATATTAAAATATATTCTTATGATTTCTCAATCAGATTCGGCTCTAAACTTCTTCCAGGACATTCGTAATAACGATGGTCTAGATGTTTATAATCTTATATGGTGTTCCATCTCTTTTAACTAAGGTTCATCTACCGAAAACACTAGATTTTATATCCACTGAGATGGTTAAACATGGCACCAGATAATAAGTTCTTTCCCTTGTTTTGAAGTAGCCTCTTTCGAAGTGCAAGATAAATGCATAGGTCTTCTTCAACAGAAAGTTGTATAAAAAACGCGATGGTGAGGTTATGGGAGTACTGATATGTGTGACCAGTTTACTTACAGTCGACATGGATACTGGCTATCTTAAGGAAGTATCAATCATTTTGAATTTTGATGATTTCTGCATGGATGACACGTTTATGTTTCTTGAAGGTGTTATAAACAACTATTGTTGATAAACTCAGTCGAGTTCATCCAACCATCATTTTTACAAAGTAAGAAAAACGAAACAAAACTATTTCTTTTATAGATGTCCTATTTGTAAGCTCAGATGAAACAGTGAGACTAAAAATGTACGATATGACATCGTCAACGGACCAGTATAATCATTTCATTAGTTTTTTGCCCTCCTTGTGTAGGCGTAACCAGGTGGAATGCTTGGCTATTTGTGAAAAAGTCTTTTCCTGTAATGACACCATTGGAATTTTTGGAGTAGAATTTCTTGACTTCATCCATCATGACTGAGTAAAGGACGCATGAGGACAACAAAAAGTTCAGTCTTGCACGAAATTTACGTATTCGTCTACTG